TTGAAAAAGTTTAAAACTTCCTAAGCCACTAGCAAGACTGATCAAGAAAGAGAGATCATCACAGAACGCACAAATTAATGACATAAGTAATAAAAGGGGATTCACCACAGATCCTACAGACATTAACAGATATGGAATATTATATAATAGATATAATATTATAATATTATATAATAGATATGGAATATTATAAATTACTCAAGGCCAAAAAGGTTCACAACTTAATAAAATGGGAAAAGTGCTTGAAAAGCTACCCTACCAAAACTGACACATAATTGGATAGAAAGTTTTAATAGGTGTATATCTATTAAATTTATTAATATTTTAAATCTTAGATTAGAAGAAGATTGATACTCTGTTGACTTTTTTGTGAATTCCACTGAACATTTCGAGAAACTAAGGTGGGACAAGCAGTCAAATCTTAACCAATTTTAATAACTGAGTGGATAAAAATGTCCTATTCATGGAAAGAGGCTCAAAGATTGAGGCTAAAACAAAAGGTCACCTGTGTACCAGGTACAGGAGATCTCACTAAAATTAAAAGACAAGACAGTTTGGAAATAAAGGATGGAAAACAGCTATTCTGAGAAACAGCTTAGAGGAAAAAGAAAGCTGCAGGAATAAAAATTTCTGATGATATGGAATCAAGTGGAAGGCATTCAGCCTGAGAAAAAAAAGACTTTTACAATGGTATAGTCACCCAGAAGACTTAATAATCATAAATCTTCATGCACTCCAACACCTCTTCGAAATAAATAAAGAGATGTGATTAAAATGTCAGACAGGGGCGCCTGGGTGGCGCAGTCGGTTGAGCGTCCGACTTCAGCCAGGTCACGATCTCGCGGTCCGTGAGTTCGAGCCCCGTGTCAGGCTCTGGGCTGATGGCTCGGAGCCTGGAGCCTGTTTCCGATTCTGTGTCTCCCTCTCTCTCTGCCCCTCCCCCGTTCGTGCTCTGTCTCTCTCTGTCCCAAAAATAAATAAACGTTGAAAAAAAAATTTTTTTTTAATAATAAAAAAAATAATAATAAAAAATAAAATAAAATGTTCAGACATATTGACAAACCCACAGTCCTAGCCAGAAATATTAATACATTCTAAAATTGACAGACCAAATTGAGCCATTAAGTCAACCCACTGGGGATTTGACTAACTCATCCGGCTCTGACAATAGATGTATTTAGGGAACATGTTTTGTTTCCAGCATAAAGGAAATATGTGTCATTTTCAGAAATCCATAAGATATAATAGGAGTAGATCATATTCATCACACCCTAGGAGAAAAATAAATTGTCAAAGTGGAAATAAAAGAGACCACTATCTCCGATCAAATCTAGTGAAATTAGAAATAACAGGGACAGACTAAAAATAATCTCTTTGTGGAATTTGTAAATCACACTTTGGAATTATTCTTGTTTTAAAAGGAATTGGAAATTGAAAGTACAGACTTTTTAGAGAAGAAAGAAGATGAGTAACTATAAATCAAAAGCCATAGGATTTGGCTAAAGCAGTATTTATAGGAATATTTATGTACTTCAGTGCATTTATTATAAAATACAAAAAAATGGCAATAAGTGACAATCAAGAAAGAGACAATGTAAGTTTGCATGAAGAAGGAGGAAGCAATTTTTAAAACTTAAATCAGGGGCGCCTGGGTGGCGCAGTCGGTTAAGCATCCGACTTCAGCCAGGTCACGATCTCGCGGTCCGTGAGTTCGAGCCCCGCGTCAGGCTCTGGGCTGATGGCTCGGAGCCTGGAGCCTGTTTCCGATTCTGTGTCTCCCTCTCTCTCTGCCCCTCCCCCGTTCATGCTCTGTCTCTCTCTGTCCCAAAAATAAATAAAAACGTTGAAAAAAAAAATTAAAAAAAAAAAAAAAACTTAAATCAGAAACTATGTAGAGAACTGTCAGAAAGCATAGACCTTAGTAATAAGCCAAAAGCTCATTCACTGAGATCAACAGACGTGAACACTTCAAAACTCTGATCTAGAGAGGGGAAAAAAATAACATTAAGGACAAGAAAAAATGCTTCAAATATGGAGACTTGTAAAATTAAAAGAATATTATGTAGACTATTTTACCTTTGAAAATTTAAATGGAATGGGTAATTTTCCAGGAAAATTATCAAAATTGACTCAAGATATAGAACCAGGAAACAAGGCAGAAATGTGACATGTCTACTCCTAAAATCGAACCTGGGTCAGGAATACAACTGAATGGACATTACTCCTAACCACACCGCTTAATAGACGTGTAACTTTAGGCAAGCTCTTTAACCTCTCTGGGCCTCAATTTCTCCTTGGTAAAATGGGGTAATAATAGTAACTCGTACTCATGATCATTGTGAGGGTTAAGTGAACTCTACATATAAAGCCTTTAGAACAGCACTTGGTACAGAGTAAATAATCTCTCCTCATATCATCGCCGTCTTGTATCATCACCACCACCACCATCATCACCATTACCATCATCACCATCGTCACCGTCACTATCATCAGATGGTTTTATCGTCGATATTTACCAACCCTTCCATAAAAGATCCTTTCTTTGTTATCTGAAGTTTCAGACCCAAGAAAGAGATGTTATGTGTCTGAACTCAGCCTCGTGAAGCTGACGTTACCTTGACGGCAGAAAGGAGCGAGGCAGCACAGAATCTAAGAAAACTCAGAGCTCTCCTATAAAAATGGATGAGAAAGATAGCAAACAAATTCAGCAGATGAGTTACTGTGCTGTCCGTCAGTCACAAGACTGCTGAGAGGTGTTGGCTGTTGCACGTTCCCCTCCCTCCACGCCGCCCGGCTGAGCGGGAGGCTCTGAGATCGCGTGTTGGGGAGATGAGAGACCGGTGGCTTCCAACCGGGGACTGAGTGATGTCTGAAAGCAGGACGCTCTAGGTAGGGGAGGTTAGGATGTATGGTGCTTACCTCTGCTACCCTGTGAGCAGCTCAAAACAGGTGTGACACCTTACTTGTCTTTGCATCGTCGCAGCCTAGCATGGGACTGGGTGTATTTGCTGTGCTACCCCTTCTAGCGGAGACCTAACGTTCCTCGTGAAAGGTGCACCGACGTCACGCCATCGGGCCAGGTATTCGAAAGCACTGCGGATCCTTCTAGAAAGATAACTCAGTGCCCGGTGCCTCATCGTGTCAGGCGCAGGTTTTGGTTTGAGGTCTGACTTTTGTCGCTCTTCCTTGATGTGTGATCGTCTCGCGATAGAGTAGGTGTTGGAGAACGTGAGCTGAGTGGGGCCTTCCCATGGCGATGGCATCAGGGGATTTATGTAGTTCACTGGTTACTTGCTCCCTTTCCTTCCCCACGGACTCACCGTCGCATGGTCGCCGGGATTTCAGCGTGTGGCTGGTTTGCGTCTGAGGCTTCCGCGCAGCTAATCAACATTCAGCATCTTGCCGCTGCGTTCTCTGTGCCGGTCCTGTCTCCCCAGTGTCTCTAGCCAACCTCATTGGCGGGAGGTTCCATTGCAGTCTGACACACACACCACCTGACCTCTCCTCCGACGTCTCATTTGAATCGTACCTTAATTCTTCATTGCGGTTCAGCTCCTTTGGTACCCCTTAACGCTTGTGTCCTTGGAATAAATGAAGTTGTAAGAGGCTGTGAACTTTTGAGCCATTTAAAGGATGTCTCAGAGAGGTGTACGATTCGTATAAATGCTTTTATCTACCCGTAATGTGTCGGTAGCAGAATTGTGACTTAATTTTTCACGTGATCACGGGAAGCTTGCGTGTTCGTCGGCTTGTGCAAGAATGTGAAGGCCATGGCCCCTGGCATCTTCAGGGAACCTCGGTAAACGTATAGCTGCATCAGTATGGAAGGGAGTTGAATCTGGTTGGATTGCACTGGGGAAGACAAGCCTGTTTCCTCAGTGAGCAGGCGTAAGGATGGGTCTTGAGATCTTGCAGGGCATCCGACGAGACTTCTCTAGAAGCAGCAGCAGCCAGGACGTCAGTGGCAGGCAAGAGAAGACACACGGGCAGGAAAGTACCAGGTGCAAAGGAGAGTTGTAAAAAGATTGCTTTCGGGGCGCCTGGGTGGCGCAGTCGGTTAAGCGTCCGACTTCAGCCAGGTCACGATCTCGCGGTCCGTGGGTTCGAGCCCCGCGTTGGGCTCTGGGCTGATTGCTCGGAGCCTGGAGCCTCTTTCCAATTCTGTGTCTCCCTCTCTCTCTGCCCCTCCCCCGTTCATGCTCTGTCTCTCTCTGTCCCGAAAATAAATAAACGTTGAAAAAAAAAAATTAAAAAAAAAAAAAAGATTGCTTTCCTTTCCTAAGGAACCGGTGCTTACTTTGATGAATCATCAAGTTGATCAGACATAATTGTGGACACGCTTTTCCTTCTCTTTTAAAAAAAAAAAAATTTTAATGTTGATTTCTTTTGGGGGCACCTGGGTGGCTCAGTCAGCTAAGCGTCTGACCTTGCTCAGGTCATGACCTTGCAGCTCGTGGGTTCAAGCCCCACGTCGGGCTCTGTGCTGACAGAGCAGAGCCTGGAGCCTGTTTCCGATTCTGTGTCTCCCTCTCTCTCTCTGCCCCTCCCCCGCTCGTGCTCTGTCTCTTTCTCTCTCTGTCTCAAAAATAAACACTAAAAAAAAAAAAAAATGTTTATTTTTGAGAGAGAGAGAGAGAGAGAGAGAGCACAAGCCAGAGAGGGGCAGAGAGAGAGGGAGACACAGAATCCGAAGCAGGCTCCAGGCTCCGCGCTGTCAGCACAGAGCCTGATGCGGGGCTCAAACTCAAGAACCGCGAGATGATGACCTGAGCTGCAGTCTGGCCCTCAGCCGACTGAGCCACACAGGCGCCCCATAGACATGCTTTTCTATAAGACACGTTTTTGGTTTGTTTCAGCTCCGTTTTCATTTTTCACAAAATGAGTGAGGAATGAAGGCCCCATGAAATTAAGGCCTAATTACGCCACAAATATTACTGACGGCTTTCCGGAGTAACGGGAACTGCTCCCACGCTAATCTGTTCCTCTTTGTCTCCTGGTAGGACGTCCATTCTCGGGATCTCCTTTGGAGCCGCGTTTCTCTTGCTTGCCTGTATCCTTTTCGTCTGCTTTGCTGGACAGCTTTTGGTAGGTACTTCACATATGGACCTTATTTTGAAAACTGTGTTCATTGAAGGCAAACGGATTTCTGGCTTGAAACACCGGGCTTGTTGATTTAACATTTCAAGGGATACGGATCCCAGTGAAGATGGAAGCACCCTTCATGCCAACGGCCCAGAATATAAACTGAGGCAGCTCATGTCCAATCAAGACACTGAGCTGAAGATTATTTGAAACATTGGATGTCACACCAGCAAATTATATTCATGTTTATTTATTTCTGTCGCCATTTTGCATTATGTCCTCTGAGTTTTCAGAGTATTTTAGAGCAGCCACTCCTAGTATAATAGGAGGCTTTTCGTGTGCAGGGGAATTAAAATGTAAACCAGATACTTCTTTTATATCCACTTCCAAGATATAAAAGTTTGGGACATATGAAAACAGCAAATGCAAAAATATATCTTGTTAGTGATTTAATTAACAGTGTTCATTAATAGTGTTAGTTAATGATTTAAACCAACCATTGCAAGCTTGGATGGGTCAAGTGCTAGTTCAGGATGTAAGAATCAAATCTAAGTGTATTCTTGAGTCGAAAGCAAGTGGCCCCATGAGAGCATCGGAAGAAAGCCAGCAATGAGATAGAAACCCAAAAAAGGTAGTCAGTGTTTTATCTTGTTCATTGGAGATGTGTGGAAACAAGAGAGGCCCCTCTGAGCCAGATTTTGAGCATTGGGTCCATTCTAGTCTAATGTGTTGGAACCTTTTAGCTAAAAAGTGTAAAGATCTTAAAGTTCATCTCTGCCTCTCAACAGTGGGCACTCTACGATGTCTGCTGGGTACCGTTGCAAACTTCTGTGGGGGGTGTTTGCTATATCATAGTTGAGGTGTTTTGAATTGGATTGGAAACTTCCAGAAGTGGCACTACGGTTCCTGATTTCCTGGAATGCACACAGCGCATCTCAGATTTCTTTAAAATTGCCTGAAGGCTATAGGTTGTAACTACTGCCCCCTGGGAATCCTTGTCAAGCTTCTAAAGTGCTTCAATATACCAAAAAGCCTGATTATCCACGTTCAGATTTTCCTTAGGTGGAAAAGCACATGGCCCCCGCCCTCTGATTTCTGGCTCCCATAAGGCTTCTGCAGCCCACTTCTCAGGTTTTCAGAGTAGGAACTATCATTTGTGGTCCCACTGGAAATCCAAACCTCGTTCTAATTAAAGCGACTTCTATCATTGTGCCTAAGTAGCCACATTAGTCATTTTCTGTTCCTAAGGAATCCAGTCTTCAGGGTGGGGGGGTGGGGTGTAGAACACAGTGTATATTTAAGGTTTCAAGCTGACTTTTTCTTAGACTAAATTGCTATAGAAAAGAAACAGAAGCGGAGGCTAGAGAAAGTATCTCCAGAGCAACTTTGCTGCCTTTGCGAGAATGCTTTTGGTCTTATGTAATGTCTGTCCTCTCAGCTTCGGTATAACCCAGCCAACCTTTCATGGCTCCTGGCCCCTCCCAGACCCAGCCTGTGGTCCCTCGAGGCCTTCAGGATCCCACACCCACCTTCCCAGGAGCATCATGAAACCCTGACACCCCCCACACCAGATGCTAGGGAGTCCGTAACTCGTGTGTTGTCTTAAAGAGAAAATCTCATTCATCAGTTGATGGACATTTAGGCTCTTTCCATAATCTGGCTGTTGTTGAAAGTGGTGCTATAAACATTGGGGTACAAGTGCCCCTGTGCATCGGCACTCCTGTGTCCCTTGGGTAAATTCCCAGCAGTGCTGTTGCTGGGTCATAGGGTAGATCTATTTTTAATTTTTTGAGGAACCTCCACACTGTTTTCCAGAGCGGCTGCACCAGTTTGCATTCCCACCAACAGTGCAAGAGGGTTCCCGTTTCTCCACATCCTCGCCAGCATCTATAGTCTCCTGATTTGTTCATTTTGGCCACTCTGACTGGCGTGAGGTGATATCTGAGTGTGGTTTTGATTTGTATTTCCCTGATGAGGAGCGATGTTGAGCATCTTTTCATGTGCCTGTTGGCCATCCGGATGTCTTCTTTAGAGAAATGTCTATTCATGTCTTCTGCCCATTTCTTAGCTGAATTATTTGTTTTTCAGGTGTGGAGTTTGGTGAGTTCTTTATAGATTTTGGATACTAGCCCTTTGTCCGATATGTCATTTGCAAATATCTTTT